CAAAGAGCTGCTTTAGTGGCAAGGCAGATAGTCCTTTTGTTTCTACATTACCTTTTGTGATTACCTGAGGCAGTCCTGCTGTCATGTCAAGGAAACACCTCTGATTTTAAGTGCATATTGCATGTAATTCATTGCATAATAAGCATTAACATATGTTCAACTGCAGAAAAACTTAATTAGAAAATGTATGTCAACGGGTATTTTAGAAAATTATTTAATTTCAATACAATGGTCAAATTAGGGCACTATTTAAGACCACATGTTTGCTATATCGCACAGCACCATATTAAAAAAAATATCTGTTTTAGATGCTAATGAGCAAAACCATTTTTTTCAGCTAAGATTTATAAGCAACACTACTTTAATAGTTATACTCTTGATCGGTAAATAAAGCACAAACTGGGGTCCCATAAGTGTGTTTTTGAATCCTGGGGTGCATGCTGTTATTTTAGATCTCTACTCCCACTCACATTTCTCCTAAAATCTTCTTAAAGAAAAATAATCATAAAATCTCCCCCTAAAAATTCAGATTTAAAATAAATACTTTTTACACTTTTTCCATAATCCCAATTTGTTATGAACTGCTGCCTTACTTTGTATTCTGTACATAACTCATCTTTTATCAGCAACATATGGCTGTGTTCTCAGCTGCCTTGTGCAATATTTGTCCTTAGTTCACAAAATACATAAAATTGTTATCAAATATGATCTGAACAGAAGGTTCTTAAAGCAAAGTAACTGCTGTATGTTAGGGGTAAGAGTGGAAAAGTGGATAGTTAAAACATCAACAAAAGGGCTTCCTGGCTGTCAATTCCAGAATATGAGTGGGCTGCTTAACTACTATAGACAACTATAGACAAATCAAAGTCTGCAGGACATGAACAAATATCACAGACAGTATATTAACGCTGTGTAGGTGGAACTAAAAGCATGACAAACGGGCGACTAAATAACCTACCGGTAAGAATGTGGTCTTACTTAGAATTTGATGTGCTCTGGAGCAACATTTAGACAAACGCAAGAAAGTATTATTATGGCGGACAGAGTGATAACAACATAATATTATTAAAGTGTTGATTCATTTCAAGCTGATTACATGATGTTTTAACAATGAGATTACATATAAATTAAATAAACAATATGTCACACGTCCTTTTAAGATTAAAAATGAATTCAGGTAATTATTTCAATTAAAGACACCATGTAGGGGCACATCCTGATTATTAAGTAGAAACAGCCAAACCTCATTTGCACATTAGTACACTGAAGTTCCTAAACAGCCTGCCCTGGAAATATTCAACATAAAGAAAAACAACTTCCAACCAAAGTAAAATGCCTCAAATTTAACATAAACTACTTTAATTAAAAACTTTTTTAACATTCAACTTCATTCCTAAAGACAAAGAAAATTAATAAATGTAGAAAAAAAAGAAAAAAAAAAGACACTAGTAATAAGATTGAAACCGCTAACCATTAAAGTGATACAGTAATATCATGGATCATTGTAAATAGCTGTATAAGTAAATAGCTGAATAATTAAGAATGAGGACAAATTAGCTCTGAAAGATGACAAGAAACAACAATGGCTAAGAGTCAGAAAAACTGTTAAGCAGTTAAGCATAAAAAGGCAGAATAAAACATAAAAATATATAAAATAAAATACAAACATATAAAATAACGCTGAAAAATACTTTGCTGAAATAGAACTCAACTGTTTAGAATATTGAATTTAGTGTTGGCTTGCTATGGCAAACACTAATTGACTTCAGTGATGGACAACCAAGATGGGGGTGATCAGAATCAGAATTTTGCACTGTGGAAGTAATGATGTCCCATCCTGGGGAAGCAGTTTAGCTAACAACAAAGAAGGATAGCAGCTGAAGTGCTGCTTGTCAAACCCTCAAAATTCTACATGTACTTTTAAAAACCCCTAATACACATATTGCCAGGTTGGGTGGAGGTTTTTAGCGGACCCAAATGCAGAGACTGAAGCTGAGGTGGTTCCTCGAAGATTTGACAACATAAAGGAGGCAACTGAAGCAAAAGTCCAAAAACAAAAAACAGAAAACAGGAAACGTCATGGAAAACACAGATGAGGAGCAGACAAACGACGAGAAATCAGCAAAAAGTAACTGAAGAGGAGGAGTATAAATGGGAGACTCAAATACAACCAGAAAACAACACAAAAGGAAAATGAAACCAATGAAGACTCAAAAAGAAAATTTAAACATTGCAAAACCGTGACATGCGTTTATGCCTGCCAGCAGGTTGTAGGTCTAACGTCTAGGACAAGCATCTGCAGACTGCGACAATTTTTAGACATGTTATGTTATATGTTTGGTTTCAAATGCTGTCTTCTACAAGGCAGAGGAAGAAAAACAGTTTCATTAATTAGTGACTGTGCTTCTTCCTCTGTAGCCCTGAAAGGAATGTTCAGATGTTTAGTCTTACTTTTCTCTGCAATATGGTTACCAGATCCATAAATAGAAAACCATACTTTATTTTGAATCCAGTTTTTTTTTTCAAAGGGCAATATTTGACTTACTGAGCCAGATCAAGATGTCTGCATGACTGTCCCCACCTACACAACCTGTGGAGAGCTGTGTCAAAGCTGTGTCTGACATCGCGGTGGGTTCCAGCTGTGAAACTCCTCCTTCCCACTAACTCATGAAAATGGGGTTATACTGTGTATTCAGAGATTTATAGTTTTTATAAATGTACTTTGTTCTTTTTGTGCAGTTTAGCTGGTGTTTCCTCCCATGGCTGGGCCCAAAAGCAGGTTGTCAGCGCAGACAGCAAGTGCAAAGCAAAAACTCTTCACAGGACATCTACTGTGAGTTAGAAATGGAGAGTGGCAACAAATCCCAAGGGAAAAAAGATAGCCTGGAGTTATGCATGTGTGTATGCTACTGCTGCAACCCCCACCCCTTTCACAGTTCAACCTTACAGCAGAGTAAAGGGTTGATTTCACCTAATACTCACAACCTTGTTCAGTGAAGAATGAGGATGACATTAAATTATGCATGTTTTTGTATTTCAAAAGGGGGTTATACTGGTAAAACAATTCAAATTAAAGTATATTCTACTGTACATTTCAGTAACGTATGAAAATGTAAGACTGTGACTAGCCTGCGTGATACCAGAAATACATGACAATACTAGGGCATTCACCAAAAAGTCAACTTGCTGACTTAATTAGGCTGAGTCGACTCACATCTGGACAACACTCCCAGCAGATAGAGCCTGCATGGCGGTGTGTGAAAGGCATGAAAAACTGGTCTGTTATAAGCTTATTCATACTGTAAATGACACAGCAGGCTCAGCAGATGGAAAACAGCAGATAAGCCTTGGGTAAAAAAAGAAGAAAGTGTGTCTCTCAATGGTGCATATTTGTTTAAAAAAGGCTTCTTTTCATTAAAAGTGAATTGATAGAGTAGCCAAAAATGTTAAGTCAAGTAAGAGTGGTGATACTGTACTATCACATTTTTACTTAAGTTAAAATAAAAAGTACAGTGCATTATATCTAATCCTAAATTGTTTTGTGTGGTTTTTTTTTCCCAAAACATTACTCAAGTACTGTAAATCTAAGTGAGTGAATGTAACTAGTTACTACCCACCTCTGGATATGATGTCATCATTGCTTCGACTCAACTTTTACTGTCAAACAGTTGACTTACAAAAACCACAACTCCTTAACGCCCTATACCACTCTATTTAATGTAAGATCTTGAAAGAATAGTTCCCACAATGTATCTGCTCATGAGTAGCTTGTAATAGACTTTTTTTCTTACACAATATCTTTAGATCATTCAGAATCATTGGTCTTCTGTTACATTCCCCTTCCTTTCTGAATTAGCTGGGAAAAATAAAATGGCCATAAAAGAAGGTTGATGTTCCTAAACTCTTTCTGTACTAATTTGTCTAAATTTCTGCATCCTTATCTGGCTGGTATAGTCCTTAATGACCCATTTATTTTCATCCAGAAAACTAAAGTTCATGATGTCATGCATTCTAGATAATGTGTCACCCCTATCAACACAGATCATTCACCATACTTATGAGTGGGCAGAAAGTAGAGATGGACTGTTACATCAGTTGGCAGATATTTTGGGCTCATATTATCTATTTCTTTTTTCTTGTATCGGCATAGGGTTGTACCGTACATAAAGTTATTTGAAAATTCAACATTGGCCATTCTGGTGGTAACATTAATAGCCTATATTACAGTATAAGATAAAACAAAGATTTAAAATACTCTTTTCCTTAAAACGCTTAGCCTTTTGTTTGATCTTTCTGTAAAAAAAAAGGTTTTAATACTTAAGGGGATTTCATTTAAACAAACAAAAAGAGCAATGTCTTGCAAGAATTTCCAAAAAAAAAAAAGAAAACTGAGCTGACAGGTGGCTAATGTTGACAAGTTTCACCCCCACTATGCCTTTTCATTGTCCTTAGTGTTAAGCTTTGGCCACCTACACAGTCCAATGGTTGCAGAAATAATAAGGAGAAAAATAAGGAGAAATAATATTCTTTAATAGAACCCTTTTTGTTAGAGATAAAAATAAAAGATAAGAACGAGGTGAACATTTTGAGGGACAGATAGGTTTGGTTTAAAATACAGTATGATCTCACTCAAAGAAAAATAATGAAACGTGGTGATTTGAACAGTGATATAAGAGTTAAAACAAAATCACATGCTACATAATAACTCCAAGCATCCTTATTCATGTAGAGTGCGTCTCAGTGATGCCATTCAAGCTGTCAATCTGCTGCACAACAAATTGTGTTTAATTCCAACAGGACGTTTTCTTCAAACCAAAGGATATTAATGAGATTTTCAAAGTCATCTCCTCCTCAGGGTAAATCAGAAAAGACCTGATCCTTTAGGATTACTCGCAATTTCTTTTGATTTCTTTCTTCCACTAACAATACTGTGATGGGGAAAGTATTTGAATAATTTTAAAAAGATAAGGTATTAAAACTAGTAACAAGAAAAGACATACCGTCAAATCTTTTATGTCTGGAGACAAATGTGCTTCTCAGCGTATGACTTCTCTCATCAAGCAGATTTTCGATGTCAAGCTTACTTCGCTGACCAAATTTGTCCTCCATTTCTTGCGTGCAACAAGTGTGTTCATGAGTGCAAACACGGAGATCTTCTCCTGTAAAAGAAAAAGAGCAAAACACATATTTGTTGTTTTTTTATTAGTTAATTAACACCAACTGCTAATAGACATGACACGTTTAATGGTGAGATCAGGCCAAATGCGATTTTAGTCAACAGAGTGGTCAGTTTAATTGTGATCTTTATGTAGAAGTACATTCAGGAGCGCAGCAATGCAAATTGATGCAGGTTCCTCTAGAGATGGGACAGGCATAATTATGGTAATGACTGACGCATTTGTTGTAGTGACTGTCGCTGGAGTCAGCATCAAAACTTTTCTGTCTTGTTGCATTTTGACAACCAAAAAGGGACTGGATGTGGCTGTTGCTTAGGGTGAAGGAGCTTTTTTCATACAAAAAAAGAACCAAAACACATTCTGGCATAGGATGAAGTAAACAGTGATCTTAACCTTTTAACTGCATGCTAACTAGGGGTGTGGGAAATAATCGTTTTGGCGATATATCGTGATATTCGGCTGCCCAATATAATATCGATCTTTCACTTCTTAGTATCGATTAAAAAAAAAAATGGTTACATAAACATTGATAAGAAAATGGGCTACCTCTGCACCACCACTCTGGCAGAAAGCGCTGTGGAGCGCTTTAACTGTGCATGCAGCACCAAATCTGTATTTGAGGCAGTCACAGTGGAAGAAAAACCCAAACAACATGGATAATAATACCCAATCAATATTTTCTGATGAAAATATACAGCATTTGCTGTTTTATCTCATCATTTGATTTTGATAGCTGGGGAAAATATGGCAATATATTGTGATACAGTAATATCGTGATAATATCGTATCGTGACCCAAGTATTACGACATGTATCGAATCGCAACACTCATGCCAATACTCACCTCTAATGCCAACTTCCATTTTTGCTGAACAATTGGTCAACCATGTGGTTGATCAGTATGGAAGTAAATATGTGCCATCAGAATTTGAATAAAAAATACCTCTGAAATTTGAATGTTGTATATTAGTGCTTACTTTTTCAGTATTAAAATAAATTCAGAATATATTTTTAACCTAAAAAAAATTCAATGTCATTATTGGTACATTAAAAAAAAAATTCAGTGTAATTTTTTTTACATGGTTGCAATTTTCAGTTATTAAAAATTCACATTCCTATTTCAAAGTGATAAAATTTTCAATATACATATTTTTCACAGTTTAAAATTTCAGTGTTAAAAAATTCAGCATATAAAAATTAAACTTTTCAAAATTCAAATGCAATATTTTCGTTGTCCTCCAATTCAACTTGCTCAAATTCACTGTCTCAAATTCAGCGTCTAAAAATTCGCTGTAAAAATGGCCAAGGTTACTTCAGGTCACAGACATTAGCAATGGATGTCCGATTCCAACATCACCTAATCACGTGACACAACCGTGATATTGAAGAAGTACCAGTATCACCCAGGCTGGCAACCATGGAGGCGAACTCAAACCCAACGGTGAGTTTAATGCTTTCATATTTCTGTAGTATATTTTATTTTGCGCATGAAGTTTGATACGTTATCTTAAAGCCTGATTTAAAACACTGGTTTGGGCCGTTGTTAATCTTACACCGTGTAGTGCCGGCATATTACTTCTCGCTACCTCCGAGCTAACAATACAGTAGCTGATCAGAGTGGGGTCGGAACTGTTCACAGCCCCTCTTTGAAGCACACAAGGCAGCCATATTAGCTTACTACATTAGCGGTAGCATCTCCTGAAAAATTACGACTTTACTAAGACTGCCTGGAGAAGTGGTATTTCTTTTTGAAATAAAACGGGGGAAATTGGGTGGGGGGAGGGGGGTAATATGCCGGCACTACACAATGTAAGATTAACAACGGCCCAAACCAGTGTTTTAAATCAGTCTTTAAGATAATGTATCAAACTTAATGTGCAAAATAAAATATACTACAGAAATATGAAAGCATTAAACTCACCGTTGGGTTTGAGTTCGCCTCCATGGTCGCCAGCCTGGATGATACTGGTACTTCTTCAATATCACGGTTGTGTCATGTGATCAGGTGGATGTTGGAATCGGACATCCATTGCTAATGTCTGTGACCTGAAGTAACCTTGGCCATTTTTACAGCGAATTTTTAGACGCTGAATTTGAGACAGTGAATTTGAGCAAGTTGAATTGGAGGACAACGAAAATATTGCATTTGAATTTTGAAAAGTTGAATTTTTTATATGCTGAATTTTTTAACACTGAAAATTTAAACTGTGAGAAATATGTATATTGAAAATTTTATCACTTTGAAATAGGAATGTGAATTTTTTTAATAACTGAAAATTGCAACCATGTAAAAAAATTACACTGAATTTTTTTTTAATGTACAAATAATAACATTGAATTTTTTTTAGGTTTAAAATATATTCTGAATTTATTTTAATACTGAAAAAGTAAGCACTAATATACAACATTCAAATTTCAGAGGTATTTTTTATTCAAATTCTGATGGCACATATTTACTTCCATAGATCAGGCAGTTTAATGATTAAGAGCTTTGTTGGTGACTTATAAAAAAGCCCTTTAAATACGCTCTTAAAAGGACTGTTAAATCCTTAATCATTTGCGCTAATCTCCTAGCTCCAGAGCTGGCCCCAGCCACCCGCCTCCTCCTTGCTCCGATCTTTGGGTGTCCTCTTCTGCTCTTTCACTATTCCCTTTGTTAACTGCAGACCTGGGCCCAGCCACCCGCGTCCTCTCCCCTGCTCTGGTACACTCTTTGCACAACGTCTTACTCCGATCTCCTATCATTATCCTTCGATCTAACGCTGTAACCTCCCTTAACTCCAGATTGGAGCACAGCTGGCCACCTCTCCCGCCCTCTTGCGGACTCTCTGCCCGCATTCTTGTCTGATCTCCTCCACTTCTCTTGTCTGAGCTCCAGAACCGCCTCACCTTTTGCCTGAGGTGTTCCTCCCTCTTAACCAGGAAAGATGCGGGTACTGGTTAAACAGAAGTGGGAAGTTACTGTGATCCAGCTGTAGCTCCTGGCCTACCAGTACTGGGAGCATCTATGTAGAATCTAGCAGACACAGGAATACTATGGCCGCTGTTAAGCCTTTCATATTGAATAAAGCACCGTGACCGTGGGGAGTGGAGGCCTAGTGGTTAGGGTATAGAGCTTGGAATCCTGAGGTTCTGAATTTGAGCCCCACTCCCACAGACTGCCACTATGGGTCCCTGAGCAAAAGACCCTTAACCCCAGACTGATCCCTGCGTGCAGTACAATGGAAGCCCACTGCTCCCTAACGGGATGGGTTAAATGCAGAGAGTTCATATCGTTGCTCTATACCTATGATAGTGTAATGATAATAAAAAAAAAAAAAAGCAAAGTTGTTGGACATGTTCTTTAATATCCAGGTCCACCACACTTAGTTTAAACATTAAGCAACAGATAGCTGCTTCATCTGTCTTGTGGCATAGTGACGCGACAGGAGAGAAGATTGTTGCACAGCATGCAAATTGCTGCCGATATGTCATGTTCAGTGTGAATGCACTATAAGAATAACATTTAATAGCAAATAAAATATAACACTTTCCAGATTTCAAATAAAAAAGACATATTGTCAGATTACCATAAACATTAGTTTGTAATAGGAGGATGTTTGAACAGTTGAACTAAAAAAGTGTGGGTTTAAGGGTGATACTTCTGATTTACACTGATTAATCTGTTTTTTTTTAAGTGGTTTCATAAGAAGCCAATCAAATAATGGGATTATGAAATGTCATTTAGATGTGTTATATAGAGGAAAGCAATGGTTCTGGTGCACTAGACCTCTATTTATGGCCCTTCAGATCAGCCTTTATAGCGTGAGTGAATTTAATGAAATCTGCTTTAATTCAATTAACATAACTAGTATGGCATGCTCAACAATTAGGGTCAGGATTTGATGTAAATCGCATATGATAATCTTTAAGGAATTTTTTTTCTTGTCTAAGGGAGAATTTCTGTACTTTATATCCCATCATAAACAATGTAATTTGATAATACCTTTTATAAAGATGAACATGGTCTAAAAGTTTTTATTTAAACAGGCATTTAATGTGCTCAGAAAGTTCTATTTTCCCATTAAATTTTATCCAGATTTTTTACCAAAGGAAATGATTTTGGAGAAAGGAGTAGGACAACACTACCATTCAGCAAGCTTTTGCTGTGCACTGCCTGTCAGATGTTTTAAAGTAGTCATCTACAGAATTCTGCTACAGGGGTTTAAGACAGATTTCCCTCTATCTTACAAATTAAAAAAATTTCTTGCCTCAAAGACCAGAAGTGGTCATGGTGCTGAAACTTAAGGAACGCCACCAATAACTCTCAATTTGGTGTGACAGGATTTCTATCCAAGCACTTAAACCTTGTCAAATAGATCTAAATGTGAGGAAATTAAGTAGGTTTTATAGAACACGATGTCCAATGAACTATTGCATGTTTGTTATGTTAAGGGATATAGTAGGATGGGTTACTTTTACAGTGGCTATTCTGAGAAGTTAGATGGTTTCACTAAAGAGGCCCGCTTCGCCATGCAGGTTTTACAAACTCAGACTTAAATCATCAACTCTGAGCTGAACCACCCTAAGGTTGGAAACTGAGTTCATGGTTTGAAAACAGCTGCTGTGAGTTAGTTTAATCAACTCCGAGTAGGTTCACATGGACTTGAGCATATGCATAACAACTATGAAAAGCCATTATCAGTGGAGCCCTGATTTGACGATTGACCATGACAACAGGGAAGAGGATGTGCCTCTTTCACACCACAGGAGAGGTTTTAATGTAGCATTAGAAAAAAATATTGGAGAAAGTTTTTAAAAGAGAGTGCAACAGCACCACAGCAGCAAAGGTGAGGTAGATGGCGTAGGAGAATATCGCTGCTTGAGTCAATGTGTAAGTTTATAAGTAGTGTGAGTTTGCAGGCCGTTTTGATTTTTATTAAAAGCACTCGTCTCTGCTGTTTAATTTGTAGGTCGCTAATATAGGATTCTTCCTGGTCACAA